AAGCGTACGTAATAAGGCAAATAGATTACTGGGATTTATATCAAGAAGTGTAAGCAACAGAAGTCCAGAGGTCATACTGCAGCTTTATACATCATTAGTAAGGCCCTCACCTAGATTATGCAGCTCAGTTCTGGTCTCCGTATTACAAAATGGACATAAATTCGTTAGAAAACATTTAGCGTAGGATGACTAAATTAATACATAGCATTAGAAATCTTCCTTATGAAGAAAGATTGAAGACTCTTAAGTTACATTCACTTGTTTAGACGAAGAAAGAGGGGAGACTGATCGAAGTGTATAAGTGGAAGATAGGTATTAATAAAGGGGATATTAATAAGGTCTTGAGGATGTCTCTCCAAGAGGAACCCGCAGTAATGGATTTAAATTAGATAAGTTTAGATTTAGAAAGGACATAGGAAAGTATTGGTTTGGAAATAGGGTAGTTGATGAGTGGAACAGTCTACCTAGTTGGGTTATTGAGGCTGGGACTTTGGGTAGTTTCAAATCTAGGTTGGATAAGTACATGAGTGGGAGGGGTTGGATTTGAGTGGGACTTTCACATCAGAGCTTATTTCTTGGGTGGCATTGAAAATTGGGTTGGGCAAATGTTTTGTTAGTGGGATGAATTGTAAAGGACCTGCCTAGTATGGGCCAGCAGGCCTCTGCAGCGTTCCTCCTTTCTTATGTTCTTATGTTCTTATCTTCCGTCAAAGGCGAGTTAGGTTTTCAAAGTGGGGATTCCGTACAGTAGTGTCAAGAACTGTGAGCTTGTGGAGGGCAGCAGGAGAGTGTTGCTTGCCTGCACTCCATCTGTGTGACACAGTTGAGTCTGCAGCCTTCATCTGTGGTCCGGCATCTCATCTTTCTGTTCGCCCTTCACACTGTCTCTATAGCATCTGTGGGCAACTCTGAAAGCCTCCATAATATCTTCTCTTGTTTTTACAATCCTCAAGTTGTGAGATCTGAGTTTCATTGGTGTGTGGAACCTCTGAGGAGGGCTCTAAGGTGGTGCTGTATACTCTAGCACAGAGACTGGCTTAGGTACAGCATCCTGAATGGCTTCTTGTTCGTCTTTCTAAAGACTGTCCTCAGATATGTAAGCCTTGTGTACTTTGCTGACGTCATTCTATTTAGGTCCCAGGTGAATGTGTGTTTGTATATCATTTGTGTGTGGTGTGTGTGTGTGTGTGTGTGTGTGTGTGTGTGTGTGGTGTGTGTGTGTGTGTGTGTGTGTGTGTGTGTGTGTGTGCGTGTGTGTGTGTGTGCGTGTGTGTGTGTGTGCGTGTGTGTGTGTGTGTGTGTGTGTGGTTGTGTGTGTATGTGTGTGTGTGTGTGTGTGTGTGTGTTGTGTGTGTGTGTGTGTGTGTGTGTGTGTGTGTGTGTGTGTCTGCACGGACGCTCATGTGTGAGTGGCAACTAGAGAGCTGTGACTCGACCCTTGCAACCATATATAGGTGGGAGCACACACACACACACACACACACACACACACACACACACACACACACACACCACACACACACACACACACACACACACACACACACAGTCACATCTTGTTTCAGTTCCGGCCCTTCTCGTCTCAGGGCGTGACCCGGGCATAACTGACGTGTCTAGACATACCCATGCCCACGGGACAGCCACGTATATGATCAGCATGTCCCAGTGTTCAGAAACACACACAATGTTATACATACTTAAAAAACAATAATCTGGTTCCTACTTCCACCAGCACTCACCTGGGTAGTTGACTAGTTGCATGTTCCTAGTACATGTACCTGACAGTAGGTATCTAGATTCCTACTTCCACCAGCACATACCTAAGTAGTTGACTACTTGCATGTTCCTAGTGCAGGTTCCTTTGCGTCTGTAGGTACTAAAGTCAATGGACAGTTAATTTTAGCGATCTCGTTCACAAGAGCGGCTGACCAGTTCGATGCTCCCATCACACACTTCTTAGAGATCTTTTACTAAATACAGTGGTAGTCTCCCACCGAGGCAGGGCGAACAAGAAAGAATATATACATTGATCATCACTCATTCAGTCATTGTATTGACATAACCAAGCCTACATCACAGTTTAGGCAGCCCTGAGAACTGCAACATCTTCGCCCATCCTTCAGAGTGTAGGCATTGTACTGCCAGACCTGAAATCCGGTTAACTGGTTTCCCTGTATCCCTTCATAAGTGTTACTTTCTTTACACTCCAACAGCACGTCAGTCCACGAAATCTACTTGTCTCCACTCACTCCTATCTAACATAAACATGATAGATGTTCCAGCCGCTAGTATTCAGACCTACTGTACTCCCGCTCTCCAACACTTCTTGCGACGATCTTCACTTCTTTAACTCTCCATCCCTAATTTATGTACCTTTCAAGTAGGGCCGAATTAAGACATGGGCTTTAGGGACTGCAGCCCAGGGTCCTCCACCAGCTCGAGGGCCTCCAGGGGTCTCCGTCAGCTGAAGGGCCTCCAGGGGCTGTTGCCCAGAGACCTCACAGCACCTGTAGTCCAGGGGCCTCACAGTACTTGTAGCCCAGGGGCCTCACAGTACCTGTAGCCCAGGGACCTCACAGTACCTGTAGCCCAGGGGCCTCACAGGACCTGTAGCCCAGGGGTCTCACAGTACCTGTAGTCCAGGGATCTCACAATACCTGTAGCCAAGGGGCCTCACAGTACCTGGAGTCCAGGGGCCTCATAGTACCTGCAGCCCAGGGATCTCACAGTACCTGTAGTCCAGGGGCCTCACAGTACCTGTAGTCCAGGGATCTCACAGTACCTGAAGCCCAGGGGCCTCACAGAACCTGTAGCCCAGGGACCTCACAGTACCTGTAGTTCAGGGGCCTCACAGTACCTGTAGCCCAGGGGCCTCACAGTACCTGTAGCCCAGGGGCCTTACAGTACCAGTAGCCCAGGGGCCTCACAGTACCTGTAGTCCAGGGACCTCACAGTACCTGTAGCCCAGAGGCCTTACAGTACCTGTAGCTCAGGGGCCTCACAGTATCTGTAGCCCAGGGGCCTCACAGTACCTGTTGCCCAGGGACCTCACAGTACCTGTAGCCAGGGGCCTCACAGTACCTGTAGCCCAGGGGCCTCACAGTACTTGTAGCATAGGGACCTCACAGTACCTGTAGCCCAGAGACCTCACAGTACCTGCAGCCCAGGGGCCTCACAGTACCTGTAGCCCAGGGACCTCACAGTGCCTGTAGCCCAGGGGCCTCACAGTACCTGTAGCCCAGGGGCCTCACAGTACTTGTAGCCCAGGGACCTCACAGTACCTGTAGCCCAGGGGCCTCACAGTACCTGTAGTAAAGGGGCCTCACAGTACCTGTAGTCCAGGGGCCTCACAGTACCTGTAGCCCAGGAGCCTCACAGCACCTGTAGCCCAGGGGCCTCACAGTACTTGTAGCCCAGTGGCATCACAATACCTGTAGCCCAGGGGCCTCACAGTACCTGTAGTTCAGGGGCCTCACAGTACCTGTAGTTTAGGGGCCTCACAGTACCTGTATCCCAGGGACCTCACAGTACCTGTAGCCCAGGGGCCTCACAGTACCTGTAGCCCAGGGGTCTCACAATACCTGTAGTCCAGGGATCTCACAATACCTGTAGCCAAGGGGCCTCACAGTACCTGTAGTCCAGGGGCCTCGCAGTACCTGCAGCCAAGGGATCTCACAGTACCTGTAGTCCAGGGGCCTCACAGTACCTGTAGTCCAGGGATCTCACAGTACCTGTAGTCCAGGGGCCTCACAGTACCTGTAGTCCAGGGGCCTCACAGTACCTGTAGCCCAGAGGCCTTACAGTACCTGTAGCTCAGGGGCCTCACAGTATCTGTAGCCCAGGGACCTCACAGTACCTGGAGCCCAGGGACGTCACAGTACCTGTAGCCCAGGGGCCTCACAGTACCTGTAGCCCAGGGACCTCACAGTACCTGTAGCCCAGGGGCCTCACAGTACCTGTAGCCCAGGGGCCTCACAGTACTTGTAGCCCAGGGACCTCACAATGCCTGTAGCCCAGAGACCTCACAGTACCTGCAGCCCAGGGGCCTCACAGTACCTGTAGCCCAGGGACCTCACAGTGCCTGTAGCCCAGGGGCCTCACAGTACCTGTAGCCCAGGGGCCTCACAGTACTTGTAGCCCAGGGACCTCACAGTACCTGTAGCCCAGGGGCCTCACAGTACCTGTAGCCCAGGGACCTCATAGTACCTGTAGCCCAGGGGCCTCACAGTACCTGTAGCCCAGGGACCTCACAGTACCTGTAGCCCAGGGATCTCACAGTACCTGTAGCCCAGGGATCTCACAGTACCTGTAGCCCAGGGACCTACAAAATCTTAATCCAGTCCTGCTTCCTAGTAGTGACTTGTTAATGGTTCAAGTCAGACAGAAACGTCGTCATAGTTTCTGTCTGCTATGTGCGGTTAGTTGCCATTGTCCAGCCACGGTATTGGTGCCCTTTAGTCTTCTCCTAGTCATCACATTTTGCTCTATTCTCTGTAAAAGTTCAAACTACAACAGTAACATCTCTTCAGCTCTATGAAATACATTATGGTAACTCACATCGTTTTTAATTCTAGGCAACGAATTTTCTGCATTAATATTCACACCACACAATAATTCTCACACATCTCCACTGTCTCCAGCCTCCTCCTCCTTTCTGCAACGTTTTAAAACCCATATTTCCCACACCCATACAACAGTGTTGCTACCATTATACTCTAACTACCTTCCTCTTTTGGCCTCCACGGATAAGTTATTTGTCTCCACAGACTCCTCAATGCACCACTCACCTTTTTAAAACCCTTGGTTAATTCTATGGTTCACCTCGTCTTTCAACAAACCATCTGTTTGACAATTCCACTCACCAATATCTTAATACATTTACCTCCTCCATACTTCCTACCTCCAATCTGTTATCCAATCACTTACAGCCCAGATTTTTTTTGTTTCTCTTATCACCTTGCTGTATCCACATAATAACAATCCATATAACTATCCACTGTCCACATAAAAACTCTTTACCGCTCTCGCTGCTCGTGGTTACCAAACTCACCTGAGCAATTGACCAGTTCGATGCTCCTCGCACGGGTCCCTGGCAGTTCGTAGCCAGTTCGCTCGTCCACACAGAAGCACCAGACACCGTCACACTGGATGGGAGCGAAGCCTCCCCCAAGGTCACAGTCTGGGGTCACAACATCGTTGGCATCAACGCCCAGGTCACGTGCGCGACGCAGAGTATTCTCACGCATCAGTTCACAAG